CTTTGAACCATGATCCTCAGATTTCAGCCTCCTGAGTAGCAAGGATTACAGGCGGGAGCCACCTGTGCCCAGCTAGACCATTCCTTTATTGTGTAGCTTTTATATGTTGAATTGCTCAGTTTCAGCCCTCTCTCATATGTTTAGATACACTTTCTGCCATATTTCACACTCCCTGTGTGCAGAGCTTGGGAGCCGTGGAAAATGCCAGATTGCCACTGTCAGTTAGAGTTGCCAAGTCAAAGAGGCCCAACCAGTCCCAAAGTGCCTTTCTGGTTGGCTTTCCATCTGTGGGGCCACATGACAAAGGTCATGACTTCCCTGCTTGCACTTAGAATAGCCCCTTCTTCCACTGTCCTCCTGCAGTCCCTTGTGGTCCATGGGCTCCAGTTAAATGCTGGAAGCTGCAACCAGCCCCACACCCAAGAAACAGAAGACCATCATTGTAGAGAACTGTGCCTCCTAAGCACACAGATGAGTGGAGGATTTGGAGTACTTCCAATGTTCTTATATTTTTGAATGTGACATTCTAAAGTTGATTTTCAATATGCTCTGTTATAACCCCCCAACACACACACACAGACACACACACACACACACAGACACACACACACACACACACACACACACACACACACTTCTATCCATACCCATATTTGCTGTAAGATTGTGTGAGACACATATTGAAATATTGGTGATGATATGTGTTGGGATGTAGTTACCAGAAACGGCACTCAGGAGCCCAAATTCAGGAGTGAAATTGCCACTTCCAGTCCATTATTTCCTAGGGAAACAATGCCCTCCACCCTGCACCTGCATCTGTCCTCCTGGGAAGCTATATGGATCACTGTGAACTCTGCACTTTGATTCATTGTAACATTGTTGCTACAATGAGCATCATTTCTGCTTTGCTAGCAACCACACTATTATCCTTAGCTGCAGTCAACAAACCTGCTCTGCACTGTGTTCAAGGTCATACCACAAAGGATCAATTGTGATAGGCTTCCCTTGGAAGAGTTGTCACTTTCACTGCCAATTTTTATGATGTTTTATAATCTTTCACAAAGTCTACAAATCAAGCAGGAATTACATAATCTGCTCAATGCTTTCCCAAGGAGTCACTATCCAGTACAAATCATGTCCCCACCCACCCCTCTAAAAAGCTAGGTCTCCTGCTCTGTTCCCATTCCTTGTGTCCTGGGTGCTCACATGAGGCCTCTCCCTAGTGTTATTCGATATTTCTCCTTCCCTGCAGGCTAGGCACTTCCTTCTGAATCATGGAGACCAACTCTCTGTAGGAAGCTATTCAGGCACAGGTATGATTCCTGCTGGTTTAGGGTAGGTCCTGGGCCTTCATGAAAGGGGCAAGTGGAGGTGATGGTGGAACTGGAGATCCCAATCTCACATTGGAGCCTTTATCATCCCTTGACTATTGAGCATTTCCCACATGTGACAATGAATTGTCAGAAGACTGGTTGGGAGGAGTTTTGCCTCTGCTGAAATCCCATCATTTTTACACTGCCTGAGAAGAGGTAGACATTGCCTAAAATAGTGACACTCGCCAATATTAGCTGGGGACAGGAGTTCCCACAGTGAATGGGATAACTATCTTCGTAAAATAGACAGAGATATCATGTGCTGCATGAATTCTATAGGGAAGCCTGGCAGAACAGTGTTCTTCTAAACTGGATGGAACTCACTGCCCAATCATGACTCAAACGCAGCCTGAAATAAGTAGAATGAGTTTCACTAGGGGTCCCTGGCAGAAGAGTAGATAGCAATAGGAACTGTATTTACCCAGCCTCTCCCAAACTCTTGTCACCTGGAATCTCCTTAAACCCAGAAACTTTCCTTTCCCATAACTGGAAAGCTCTTAATTCTTATGGCTCTAGAGGTGCTGCAGAAACCTGACTGAGCGTGCCACCTACTGCCAGGAGAGATCACTGCAGGCTGAAATAGAAGACATCCTGGGAAAGAGGTTTATCATGCTTAGCCCTTGTTCTTCTCTGGGGTCTTGAGGACCTGGCAGATACCATCTCACCATTGGCAAGGGACTTGTGCTGCAGTGTGACACCAACAGTAACTCTGTAGCAGTAGGATAGTTGGAAAGCTACTCACATTCCAGGCTTGGTTTCAAGTCAAGGACCTTGACTCCTTCAAAACATCTGCAGGTTTGTGAACAGGGGGTCCCATGAACATTCCCTGTGCTTGGCCCAATCCCCTTGACAGGGGCCTGGGATGGGAAAGGGCTTGGGAACTTTGGTTGAGTGGTAGAGCAGATCCTAGGGTGAGGCACCACATTGTGTGTAGGTCTTGGGGTGTGTACAGATCCACATTCACCACATTCCTGTAAAATGAGTACCCAGAGGGACTTCCTAGTCTCTCTACCAGTCCCAGCTGAGCCAAGCACTCTCCTTCTCAGTCAAATACAACTAAAAATAAAAATGGTAGCAAAATCTGCAATAAATATCAAGTCACAAAAACAAAACAGGTCAGAAAATCAGCTTGCCTTAAAAAGGCCACTGAAAACTGGGTGCCAACGGCTCATGCCTCTAACCCTAGATACTCAAGGGGCTGAGATCTGAGGACCTCAGTTCCAATCCAGGCAGGAAAGTCTGCCTTATCTCAAAAAACTGGAAGTAAAACTGTGGTTCAAACGGTAGGATTCTAGTCTTGAGCCAAAAAAGCTCAGGAACAGTGCTCAGGTACTGAGTTCAAGCCCCAGAATGACACACAAAGGCAACTGAGAAACAAAGGATAGACCAGTGTTAGTTTATTTGGATACTTATTCACATGTGGGATGCCAATCCTCACACATGCCACCTGTACCCCTCACATGCCCACCCAGCCCCCATGAGGGACACCACCATAAGAATAGGCCCATTACCACCACCACCCCTCCACCCCGCAACACAGGTGGCAGCCCTAGAGCAAGCAGGCCATGCTCTGGCTGCCTTCATACACTGTTTCCTGCAGCAATAAGTTGCCAAACCAGCCACCTCCCCTTATATCACCTCACTGTGCTTGGCAGGCCCTCTTCCCTCAGACCCTGTTTCTTGCTCTATAAAGTAAGGTTACTAGTATATATGTTATAGGGCAGAAAGGAGGGTGGAAGAACTAGGGATGGAGGTGTAATCTGTCGCTCTCTGATCCCAGTCAGCGACATAGCTAGAGGTAGAACAGAGTGAGGATAGCAAAGAGAAAGTGAGGCATGGCCCTATGGTCATTTGACATATTCTTGTCCTAGTTGGGGCTGCTTCTCTCAATCAGTAAGTCCAAAGAAGTTTTTATAAAGGGGCAAGACCATGAGGGTCCCCGACACCGGTCACCCTCATTTGTTCCTGCTAACACTGGCTCTTCTTAGTCCAAGGGCCTCGCCCAGGCTGGAGAAAATGTATGTGAAAGGTGATTTTGTCACTAGCCTTCTAGCTGGGCTGCCAGGAGCCCCTCTTGTTGTTAAATCTACCCCCTCCTTGCTCCTAATGGGGAGTATTCCTGTACTTCTCCTGGGCAGGGGCACCCAAGATAAGACTAAGTTCCCTCAGGCCACATATACCCCCCACATCCCTGCCCTGATCAATACCACCCAGCAGGTTGAGGTCTTTCCATTCACTCTATGTCTGGCCTGAGAGCTGGATGCGGCAGCAGATGGCGGTGACTATTATAAACACCTTACTGGCCCTTCTTCTTTTGTCAGTGTTCTGGTGCCTCACCACACAGGTGTTGTCCACAGGGAAAGCTCCCAGAGTGACTGAGGTCTCAGGATGGGCACTGCAGCTGGTCAGCGTCCAGCCTGCATCACAGCTCACGGTGACCTGCCAGAGTCCAGACAGCACAAGTAAGGCCAGGTCCCGCATGCATGGTCAGGTCTCTAAGCCACCTGCTACACTGTCCCTCCCAGCAACCCTCAGTGGGGACCAAACTGTGAACACCTGGCTTGCTTCTGCCCCTCACACCCCAAAGGGGCTGAGTCCAAAGCTGCCCACCACTCCCTCAGGGTGCTTCAGCCCCAGCCTACCAGGACACTGCAGCCCAGACAGACATCTCAACAAACCAAAGCCCCTCCCACCTCCCACTTCCCTCCAAGCCACACCTCCCACAGCCTTCCCCATCCAGTGATGGCAACTCCATCCCCCCAGCAGCTCCACAAGACCTTGCAACAGCCCTCCACTCCTTGTTGCAGCTCATCCCAGACCAGAGCCACCAGCCTCAGGTCCCAAACTCCTCCTGCCATGGCCTCTAGAGGCTAGCTCTCAGACTCCAAGAGGCCAAGTGTGACCTGCCCTCCCTTCAGAGATCTGCCTTCTTCCTCCAACCTTCCATGGTTGCTCAGGCATTCCAGCCCTGAACAACTCCCCGTAGGTTTGTGAAATGCAGAAGTGATGCTTTGGTTTTTTTGTGCTTCTTTTGTTTTTTTGTTGTGCACACACACCAATCCTGGCATTTAAACTCCAGAGCTGAACCCAGCTCCAGATCTGTTTTTTGGGGGGACAGATAATTGATGGCATAAGTTTCATAATCTCTCTTGCCAAGGTTGGCTTTGAACCCCAGTCCTCAGATCTCAGTCACCAGAATCGTTATGAATACAGGTGCTTTAAAAAATAAAAAAAGCAGTACTGAGGTTTGAACTCATGAGTGCCAAGCAGGTTCTCTACCACTTTAGTTACCACTTTGGCTGCTTTTGCTTTAGATATTTTTCAGATAGAATCTCTTTTTTTATTTTTATTGATTTTTTTGCCCAGGTGGGCCTCAATCTGAACTCTTATTTGTTCCTTCTCAGGAGCAGGTGAAACAGGCACAGCATTATATTACTGTGTCCAGTCTCAGCAATTCATTTCTTTATGCCATATTTATTTGTGCTATCCTTAAAGGGGGACGGGGCATTGGAGAGCAAACCTTACTAATGTGGCCAGAAACAAAAGCAAGCCCATGACACTCACACTGACACTCATACAAACACATGTGCAAGCACATGCACACACACACACACACACACACACTGCACATGACAGCACAGGTGCTCAGGTCCTCCCCTGGGCAATGCAGGCCCCAGCCATCTCCACCACCCACCTCCCACAACCCCAACCCTTCACCTTCTCCAAGGGACTGAAACGCCTGTACTTCTTCGTTGTACACTGCAGGCCCGGAGCATGGCAGCAGGTAGCATGGACACTGGCCTTCTTGTGCCCCAGACACTTTCTGGGCTGATAAACTTGCTGCCTTGAAGAATGCTTGGAGACACCAGGGTTACCTATCCCCCAATGGGAGCTGCATCCTGGGGCAGAGGAGGGACAGCTCACACACTGAATGTGGAAGACTATCGTAGTTCTCTTTCCACACCCCTTTCTCTATAAGGTTGAAAGCCAAGGAAACCCAGGAGCAGCTCTGAGTGGAAGAGTCATTGGGCTGAGCAGGAGGACTTCCAGCATAGCTCTGCTGGTGATCTGACTTGTAGAATTTTGGGAGAGAAGCTCAACCTCTCTGAGCCATAGTTTCCATGATCTCCTCTCCACCAAAGAAGTGGAGCCATGGGGCATGGTTCCCAGGCCTGCGATGATCAACCACTGCTTACCCAAACCCCTCCCTCCTCAAGTCCTTTCCTCATGCATCATCACCAAGAGCAGTCCAGCATTAGCCTGGGTCTGTGGGCTAGAGAATCAGGTGCACCTGGCTGTAAAATTGTGGGCACTTTGCTGAACTTCATCAAGTCTCAGTTTCCCTATTTGTAAAACAGCTAGAGCAATAGCAGCAACTCACTTAGCTAAAGCAGAAACATGCATGGGAAGTCCCAGTGCTGCCCATGCAGGACCCAGAATCTGGTAACCAGGACCAGAGCCCTTCTCCCAGCTCTGTAGCTTTAGGAAAGACACTCGGCAACTTGTCCTGCATATGGAACTTGGCCTGAGCTACACAGTGAGTGCCTGTGGCTCTGCCAGCTTTGCCAAAGGCCAGGCTTCCTGCCAGGCCAGCAACCACATAGAGCTCTTGTCCCAGACAAGGCTCCAAGCCACTGGGCTCATCTGACTGCTGCTAATCCAACCAACTTCTAACCCCACCTAACCTTTACTATTCCAGAACTTCAGACTCCCCAGTACTTACCTAACAAGGTCAGCTCCTGACCTAGTAATTCAAGATAATTCCCAATGTCCCCTAAACCTCCCCGCTGGCACCAAGCTCCTTCTAAGAATGGCTCCAGCTCAAGAAAAACAGTCCCTACCTCCTCAGTGCAGCCCTCACCCATGACTTCCAGACACATTCCTGGACAGGTTTGTTATACAAAGTTCCTAGCCCAGGGCTGGTAAGGTGGCTCAGTGGTAGAGCACTTGCCTTGCATGCCTGAGGTCCTGGGTTCCATTCCTCAGCACCACAGAAGCAAAAAAAAAAAGTCAAAAGTGGTGCTGTGGCTCAAGTGATAGAGTGCTAGCCTTGAGCTGAAGAGCTAAGGGATAGCGCCCAGGCCCAGAGTTCAGGCCACACACCTGGACTACCTACCCCCAAAAAGAAAGTCCCCAGTTCAGAGAAAGAACTCCAGAGTGATGGTCGGTGACAGTGGCCACCAGAATGCAACTGTCCAGGATTAGAGCTGAGCATTCACAATGAGGAGACTAAGGCACAGGGCTGAGAAGAAACTTGCTAGCTACTGATTGGATCAACCTGAGCTGTGCCCTACTCTGACAGGCCTGAACTAGGGCAGCCTACCCACACAGAGGGTAAACAGCTCCCAGTGCCCAAGCCAGAGGTCACTTGTAACCCTTCTTATCACCACTACAGAGGCAGGAGAGGAAGAGAGAGGTGAAGCCACTTGTCCAAGGCCACATAGCATGCAAGTTGCACATCCTGTTTGGCTGTGGGTCCTGAGGCTCCCATATCATCTGCTCACACTCATGGGGACCAAGTGTGTAGGCCATGTCTCCTGAGCATCAGGAGGTAGGACATCTTCCTCACCCTGGCGGGACCAGCCCCTACCTGTGAGGACTTGGTCAGGATCCAGGCAGTGGGTGTAGGTCTTCAGCCACACCAAGGCTGGAGGAGCTGTGTAGACTCTGCAGTTGGCTCGGCGGAGCAGGCAGCATCTGGCCACCGCAGAAACCTGGCTATTTCCAAATGCCAGGCAAACGCGTCTCTTTCCTAGGATCTGAGAGTCGAAGAGAGAAATGGGAACTTGCTGTGAACAGGTTTAGGGACTGGGGAACCTGGTCTGAGAGGGACCCCGTCTGCAAGTTCTGGCTCCTGAGTCCTCAGCATTGTTGGTTCCATGCAGGCTGTCCTGCCATGTGCAGCTCAGATGAATCTTCCCAACACTGACAATGCCTTGTAATAAGGATACCTGATATAGCAGCACAGGGCCTACAGGCCCCCTGGCCCATCGGGCCTCTCCTAAGAAACCTCCCTAACATTGATTTCTGCACAGAAGTGTTCACCTACCATATCCTCTAAGCCCTCTTCCCCTCACAGGGCCACCCAGGGTATGGGAACCTCATCAGCTGCTTCTGCAACTTTGAAATTCTCAACTCACAGAGCCTCTGTCATCCCAACCTGAGGGTCATGATTGTGCATTCTCTTGGTTGGCAGGGAGAAGGAAGGGGTGTGTCAGTACTGGGACTTGAACTCAGGGAGTAGGTGCTGTCTCCCAGCTTTATCATTCAAGCCTGGCACTCTACCAGCAGAGTTGCAACGCCCCTTCACGTTTAGTTGGAGATAAGAACTACATGAAATTTACTGGACTGGCTTTTGAACCACGATCCTCAGATCTAAGCCTCCTGAGTCATTAGAACAACAGGCATGAGACAAAAACACCCAGCATAGAGATGGCTTTAGGCAAGGCAGAGAGCCGAAGCCACCGCTGTTCTTTCCCTCCTGTGCCCATGAGGGTGCTGTCTGTCCGGAGTCCCCCAGGAGCACCTGGCCCTGCCCAGGCCTTTGAAGTCGAGACAGGGATTGGAATCCAGAGGACAGAGGACTGGACACACAGAGTGTGCAGCTCACCCCCACACGCTCGCCCAGCCGCTTCCCACTCTGGGAGAAACTGGAGCAGCCCAGCAGCTCCTCCTCCGGGTCACAGTGAGCCTCAGCAGCGTGTGTCAGCCTGAATTCCCAGGGTGCTGACCACACAGTCCTGCAGAACAGCTCTTCACCTGCAACAAGGTCATGAGTAATGCGGCTGTGGGGGCACAGTACACCCAGAGAATCCAGAGAAGGTTTCAGTCTTACATCAGGGAGAGGAGTTTCCATATCACATGAAACTTTTAGTTAAAACTTCAGTGTTGAAATCATTACCCTGATCCTGGAGTCCTATCTGAGGAGGACAGTCCTTCTGTAGACCAGGTAGGGGACTGTCACCTCCACACGGGCCTCTCACACCCAGGCTGGCCTCTGCCTACCCACCTGCCCTGCTCACCTGTTTCCTGGGTGCGGGGGGGCAGTGCAGCCAACAGGTTGGGAGTCTTGAATCGCTCCTCCTCCGGGAACCAGGTGTCATTGATAGCATTGCTGATAGAGTAGTGGATCAGCCTCTGCCTCAGCTCAGCCACAGTGAGGTTTGGCTGGGCAGTGAGCATCAGGGCTGCTATGCCTGATGGAGGAAGGAAAAAATCAGACAAGGTGATCGCCTGGCCTTCCATCCTAGCTGGGAACTCCTTTTAGGACACAAATGCACACACATGCACACATGATGTGATTTTCCCAAAATGAAGCCACCTGCAATCCCTTGCATAGTGAAAGATAGAAAGTAACACATTTTGTTCTCCTATCTCTAGGCCTTGGTATTGGCTATTGTGTTCACCAGGTAAACACCAATTTATACCCCAGTGATGCAAAATGGCACCATCTCCATCAGGTCTGCACATTGGGTTCTCTTCCTCATAGCCAAGCTTATGGACGATCTGGCCAAAGGGGCCGCTGGAATCCTGGTGGTCCAGGCAGTGGCATGGTGACTCACCAGCCACATGGGCAGCCGCCTGCGAAGTTCCACTCTGCGTTACATAGCAAACATTACAGCCTTTGGAGGCACTGACAATGTTCTTCCCAGGAGCAAAGATGTCCACACAGGATCCATAGTTAGTCCCCAGAGGACCCTGGATGAGTGGCTGGATCTGAGAATCGACAGCTCCAACAGTGATGACCTGGAACGTGGCAAAGAGTTGAGGGAAAGGCTGCATGAGGCAGACTGATCAACGCCTATACTTCCTGTTTGACTCCCATGTAAGTGTCTTCTCCAGAGGAAAATCTGGCTCCTGGGCACAGCTGATACCCTAGCCTGCCCCAGGGCTTCTACAGGATTCAGTCACTACTCTTGATGCCCTGTAGAGATTGTACAATAATGGGATAAAAACACTAAATTGACAATGTTGTTATCAAGAAGGCAGAGTGCTGTGAGGCAACCCACAGTGAGCCAGGCTGGATGCAGGCAGTTGTAAGTTCAGCATCTCTGGAAAAACCCCTGGAGCTATAGTCTGAAGGTTTGTGCAGGGCAAGGAGGGAGAGGGAAAGGGGAGGGCAGCACTGCCCATTTGCCTCTGTACCTTCCCTATCTTCCAAGGCACAGAAGACCCGGAGATGGGACACCTGTCTTCCCCCTGATACTGCCAGGCCCACACAAGCCCCACACAAAGCAGTGGCTCTCCAAATGTCAATCAGGAGGAGAGGGATGGCACAGGGGGAGGATGTGATGGAGGGGGTAATGTGGGAGGGCCTTTGAAGATGAGGCAGGGCTAGCCAAACCCCTTGTCACACTGGGGTTTGGGGAGGCTGGGCCTCTGACAACCTGCAAGGCAGGACATGAGCAGGAAGCCCTGCTGGCACCTACCTCAGGAGACGACGCTGGAGAGTAGGCACAGGCATCTCTCTGAAAGTTGCCCGCAGCGGCCACCAGCACTGCTCCAGCCCTTGCCAGACGCTTGCAGGCATTGTTGATGCTCTGGCTGTACCCACTCACCAGGGGCAGCAGCACTACCATGCGCTTGGAGGGATTGGAGACCAGCTTTTTCCAAAGAAACTCCAAGCCTGACAGAACATAGATGACTGAGAACAAGATGACTGCCTGGAGAGGGGCATGTTGCCCTCCCCAGCTCCTTCCCTCCAAATCAACAGTGATGTTCATTATTGAACCCAACATAGGTCAGTGCATCTGGCCAAAGTGGCTGCTGGGGTCTGCCACTCACCCATGAGGATGCCGCTGATGGTGCCCTTCCCTTGGCAGTTCAGCACACGCAGGCTGTGTATGTTAATGTCCTTGGCCACACCAACATTCTGGCCACTGACCAGGGCTGCCAGGTGAGTACCATGGCCTTCACAATTGTCCTCCTGCTCCACCAACACAAAGACCAGATGAGAAAGACACCCGCCCCATGATTTCCCAAAGACCCCGGATGGACTGGCAGTGCCCGCCCTTCCTTGTCTACAACTGAGGATTTGGGATGGACGGTGATGGCTGGGGAGGGTGGCCATGGTGCTCCAGGTCTGGTGGTCCTCATCTTCCTCTGGGATGGGCTGGGGAAGGATGGCTCACCTGTGTCCTGGGTGCACTGGTGCTCTGCCACTCCTCCTCAGGCACTCTCTCAAAGTTAGAGATGTTGATCCTGCCCTTAATTTCCAGGTGATTAGGCTGGATGCTAGTGCCCAAGAGATACACCTCCACGGGGTTTTCCTTGTCTTCCCACAATTACATTTGGGCAAGAAGAGAAAAGGGAGAACCAAGAGCATCATGTTATATGACACTCAATGATGGCATGCTCTGCTTCTCAATTGTGCAGTCTTTCATCTAAAAATCCTCCCAAGCTACTCCTAGTGGGAATATTTTACTGACAAGGGCAGTGAGACGTAGAGACAGGGAGCTGTCCTAAGCCATGAAGATGGCCAATGAGAGAGAGTCAGGAAACTCCCTAATAGCATGCTGCCTGTTACTGGGTCTTGTTATCAACTCAAATGGCCCAGCTCCAGCTTGAGCTCTGTCATTGGCTGGGAGCAGCCCAGGAGGCCTCAGGGACCTGCTCCTACTACTGGTTCTCTTGAGGCAGAATTACAGCAGCACACTTTCTATTGTTGCCCAAGCAAAACTGCAGTTCTGGAGATCAGAAATTCAAGATCGAGAGATCATGCTGCACTCCCCCTGAAGATTTGGATAAGAAGCTTCACTCGTCTTCTGCACCTCCTTCTGGTGGCTGCTGGCATTTCTTGGCTTGTGGCCTCCTCACCCCAAGTTCTGCCCATCTCCTCCTATTGCCTTTCTTTTATAAGGTTTGGGTTTGAGGATGACAAACAGCTGTGCTGTGTGGCCTCTATTCGTAAAGGGATAGTACAGGGCCTGCCCAGCCTTCTTTATCCCCATCCATACAGGACCTGCTTTACCCTGTCCCAGTCCAACAACTCCTAAAGGCTCTCCTCCAGCCAAACCCTTGAGAAGATTCTAGAAGGGACTCCCTAGCTCTGTCTCCATTCCTCCAGGAAGGGACAAGGACATCATGGGCATCACCAGGGAGCAGGAAATGGACTGTGTCTACTCCAAACCTTCAGGAGAGCTAGTCACTAGTACCATAGAAAAGACACACCATGTCCTTTTAGACCTATCTATCTGGAGGCTAGAGTTGTGACTTAAGTCGTAACCTAGCAAATGTGAGGTCCTGGATTCAAATGACAGCACCACCATCAGACCATATCTGAAAAAGAGGTCTTTCTAGGTGAGCTCATGCAGGATGAACAAGTAGCACTAAATCCAGTGCAGAGTGGCCTCACACAAGAATGAAGAGGAAGGCTGGGCACCCTGTCCCACTTCTGTCATCCCTGCTATTTGTGTGTCAGAGAATGGATAGATCAAAGCCAGCCCAGGCAAAAAGTTCATAAGACCACATCGCAACCAAAGCTAGGTGCAGTAGCACAAGCTTGTCATCCCAGCTACTCAGTAACCATAACAAGGAGGATTGTGGTCCAGGTTCTGGCATAAATATGAGAACTTATCTAAACAGTAACTATTGTATACATGTCTTGAGTGTAGAGAACCTGCCTAGCAAGCATGAGGCCCTGAGTGCAAAGCCCAAGACTCTAAAGGAGAAACAGAACATATCTTGCTACTCAGAAAGGAGAGATGTAGAGCATTAATGGTTCAAAGCCAACCTAGGCAGCAAAGTCCTCTACATTCCATCTCCAATTTACTAGTAAAACATCAGGCTAGAGGTGTGGCAAAAGTGGCAGTGTGCCAGGGTGAACAAGTAAGCTGAGCACATGGGTAGCCCTAAGTTCAAGACCAATACCACTCATAAAATAAATAGAATAAGCCAATGAAAAGAAAGGAAAATGGAAAAAAGAATGATAAAAGGAGAAAGCAAGAACCACACAAAGGTGGGAAGCTGGGGCAGAGCAAAATGACAGCCTGCCAACATCACCCACCTTCCAGTCCTGAAGACACTGCCTCTGCTTCCCCTTAGCCTCTAAACAGTGGGGAGGACAAGGCTGATCACGGCCTGTTCACAGCTAAGGGAAAGGCCTAGAAAGGGAGGTGGCTCCTCAGACCCTGAGATCCGTGGATAAGGAGAAGGCGTTGGGCTCACCCCCAGACCTGAGGCCCAGCACCAAACCAAACCCAGATCTGCACAGGCTCATCCAACACTACAGGGTCCAGTCAGAACCTCCGATCCTCTCCCAAGCAGGTGCCCTTACTGCCTTTCCCAGCTCAGGTTCACTGAGACACCCCCGTCTCCCAGACTTTGACATGTTCCTGTCCCCCTCCTGAGAGGCCTGGAGACAGAGGGAAGCTCTGGAGATCTGGTCTTGTTTTGAGGACTGAGAGTTATATAGACCAGAGACTGTAAGTCACAGTCAAGTTCAGTTTCCTCTTAAGGCAAGTATGGCCTGCTGGAGAGAAGAGGAGGAAAAGAAGATGGTTATTCAGGCACTTGTGGCTCAAGCTTATAATACTAGCTACTCAGGAAGCTGGGATCTGAGGGTGGCTGTTCAAAACCCAGCCTGGACAGGAAACTGTGAGTTTCTTATCTCTAATTAATCATTCAAAAGCTGGAAGTAGAGCTTTGACTCAAGTGGTAGAGCACCATCTTTGAGCAGAAAAAAACTAAGGGAGAATACCCAGACTCTAGGTTCAAGGCCCCAAATTTGAAAAAAAAATAGAAGCGTGGACCTTAGGCAAATGTCCCGGTATTGTGCACAGAACACCAGGAGGGAGCACAGTCCAAGTGGGGTTAGAGAGAACAGAGAGAAGATGGGTCAGGTGAGCTCCCAGGACAGAGAGAAGAGGTGGGCCATGGCAGCTGTGGTCTTACTGCTGTGGTTGAAGCTTCGAAACTGGTTCCACTCAGGAGAAATCCACTGCATGTTCCACATGGTGCTCTGAGTCGGAATCCACGGAGGGCTCCACAGGAGGCTCTGTGCAAAGGCAAAGGAATCCTTCTCGATGAACTTTGCCTTCTTGAGCCTCAAGACCTGCAGACACCAAGGACACAGGATCTCAATTACATGAGTCACTTAGCCAGAAGCACCCAGCACTTGGCACATCTGATCCCTACAGTGCCCACCATAAACAAAAGGCCCTCTCCTTGGACCAGAAGAAAAAGTGTCCCCGCTACTCTAGTAGGCTTAGGAGTGGGGGGAGCTGGGACCAGTGCCCCACAACTGGTAGCTGAGCCCACATGAGTGGCAGGAGAGATACAGCTTCCACATCTCATCTGGGAGCCAGGCACTGCCAGTTCTAGGCAAGTTGGACAGTGGGGGAAGTCCTTGTGGTCTGGACTCCATGTCCACATCAGGATGTCAGCACTGGCCGTCCTGTGAGTCCACTCTTTCCCCACATTTTTCCTGTCTTCAGATCATAGTGCTATGAACCCTGGTGGTGGCATCTGGGTGCTGAGCCAAAGGGACAGGAGAAGGGACCAGCAAGAATTGAGAGCACAGTGTGTGCTCAGACCCATCCCTTCCCTGAAGCATGCCTCACACATCCTGAGCCAACCCGACCCTTCTCTCACCTCAGCTGTGAACCAAGGCTGCAATGCACCAACCCAAGAACACTGGCTTGATGCCCCAGAAGCTGGGAATCCAGCTCCCCCGTGTACACGGGGATCCCTCCTGCTTCAAATGAGGGTGAATAGACCAAGTACCATAGTGGAATTGGCCAGACTAACAAGGAAGCTGCCTGAGGAGGCTGGCATCACTAGCATCATTGAGCTACAGACCCTCAGTACTCAGTAAGTGTCTGCTGTCCCCTGAGTGTGTCAACCAAGGGATGCGCACAGGCCTAGGCACGTGCATGCCTGAGCTGGGGCTCACCAGGTCCAGTGGGCCCAAGTTGTCGGACTTCATCAGGATGCCAGGAAAGAGGCCTTTGAAGACGTGTAGCACTTCGAACATGAGGCCCTGGCTGGCAGCCTGGCTCTGTAGCCGTTGGACAATACTCTCCATCTGCTCCCTCTCGGATTCCTTGAACACTACCAGGTAGATATTGGGCACCTTCCAGGCACTCTGGCCCCAAGGGAGGAAAAGGAGCATGAGGACATCAAAAGAACGACCCCTCCCCTAGGTACAGATCAACTTAGAGCCGAAGAGACCCAGGACATAGAGAGACTACAGATGCCAGCTGACTCAGTGAGGCTTAAACCTCTCCCCAACACACACAAAGCCTCACTGACATCACCCACAACAGATCCACAAACTTCCAAACATGGCGTCCATCCCCAAAGGAACTGTGGGTGACCCTCAGCACTCATCTGAGTGCACATTGAGCCGGCTCCACCCTGGCCATTCCTCAGATCCTGTCTTGAGACTCAGCAGTGAACTGCCAGGAGTCTGTGGAGCACTGGCCATCCTAACTCCCCACTTTGGTGCCTTCAGTCCCAAGACCACACCAAGCCAGTGGGCAAATGAGCAAATGCTCTCAGGGATCTTCACTCCAGACCTTCCCTTACACTGAAGCTAGAGAAGAAATGGCATCCACATGGCTCCTCATCCCCAGCCTGCCCGCACCTCAGAGCGCCGGTATATGATGCTTGAGGGCCAGCCGTGGATCTCCCAAGGACGAGTGAGCTCCAGCCCCTCTTTGGGTCTGTCGAGCTGCTCTTGGGCTCCGGACTCATCCCATTCCTTTTGGGCTTCGACCTTCACAGGGCTCAGCAGCAGCAGCAGCAGCAGCAAGGGCAGCAGTGGCCACTGTGGCCACCCACAGCCATTGCTGCCCATTGGACAGGAAGAGAGATTTGCACCCTGGTGCTGACACCCGGAACCAGGACGAGCCAGGAACAAGCACAGAGCCAGGCAGGACAGCTGGGTTGTCTGGCTCACTAAGTAGCAGCTGCCTGAAGCCAGGTGCCTCCAAGTATCAGGAAACCTAGGGTGCAGAGTGTTGAACACCTGGAACCCGGGGCAATCCCATCTGATTATATACTAATAGAGCCAACCCCCTCCACACAACCCCACAGGCAAACAGGAGGGAGTTGCATGTCTGCGTTCAGCAGTTCTGACATGGGATGACCAGAGGTCAGGGAACCGCCCCCGCCTTCTCCGTGTTCATTGGCACCTTTGTCAGAACGTGTCTTCTGTTCTGAAGCATCTAGCCCTGCCTGAGGGGCACACTGAACTGGGGTCATCTCCCCATTTCACAGATAGAGAAATTGAGAACCAGAAATATCTTATCAACATCATGAGGCTATAGGCAAAGCAGATCTGATTTTTCCAGCTGTTTCTTTGGAGCCCTAAGGGGCAGTGAGGTAAAGGTTGTATCTTGCCCCCAGCATCCTCAGGCTCCTCCTTGGGCTAAGGGAGCTGGAAGAATACTGAGGCGGTGCTATGGTTCACTGTATGAGTCCCCAGGTTTAATTAGGCCTGGCAAATAGGAAAAGCTCCCTGCCTGCACATCTAACTCTCAGAGAACTGTCAGGGTCACCTTCATGTGACCAGCACCTAGCCAGACCTTGGTAGGTACCTGTAATGACTGATTAGGTTAGTGATGGAACTGTGTGCCCAGCACTGTTCTGCATGCTGGGTTACAGCAGTGAAGATGATGGGCAGACACAGAGTGTGGAGATGATGTCAGCTGGACACCAGTGATGAGGGGAGGGGATGCGCATTGTGGGCAGGGAAGGAAGAGCTGGGTTTGGATGCAGGGCAGTGTGAAAAGCTCCTTTGAGGGAGGGAGCTAAGGAAATGGGCTGTGAGGACAATGTAGTGTGGCCCCCGGGGCAGGGCTGCCCAGCAGGAAGGCAGTAGGATGGGCAATGTGGAATACAGATCTAGAGAGGTTTGAGTCCCCTGTGGGAACAGGGTGTGTGACATCAAGTCTGCAGAGTGGACACAGGTTCCAGAGGGACAAGGCCAGATGGGAGGAGAGTGCATCTGAGCAAGGCCTCCTAGGTGCAAGGACTGAGTCCCCAGGGCCTGTGGTGAAGGCCCTCCCAAGCCTGTTGGACTCCCCACGGAACTCAGTGGTCACAGACAGGGTTAGGGTAGCCCAGGGGTAATGTGATGTGTGTCAAGGACTATGGAAGACACTGAGCTGGGAGAGGCAGCCCTCGGCATCAGGAGGAATGCTTCATGGAATCTGGTGCTAGAGACAGGCAGATGTGGGGAAAGCAGATGCTCAGGACAGGGAGCTATAGAGCCATGGGGAAGGGTGTGTGGAGAGAGGCTGCTGAGGATGGGCCTGCTAGTCAAGGATCAGGAGGGCTAGAGCACAGAGGAGCTGTCAGGAAGGGAGGAGGGACAGAGGCACAGGCTAAGAGCTTCTTTCTCCCCATGAAGTTCTGGAGACTCTGGGGGAAGCAGTGGCAGTGCCCAGCTGAACCAGCAGAGGGCACCCAGTGGCCAGAGTGAGGCCCTGCAGCCTGCAGCCTGACAGGCAGGCAGGGCAGGGCCCACCTTAGCCTGGGCAGCACCTGCTCCAGCCTTCCCACCAAAGCCCACAGGGAGGTGGTAAGAGCATGGTGGTAAGAGAGGCAAAGCACACAGCAAAGGCAGGTTAGGTGTGGGAGGAGCCCAGTCAGAGGGCAGTGCGTCCCAGCAGCCTTCCTGGAGGAGGCAGCTCAAGATTATGGTCCAGCTGTAACAGGCAGCACATCCACAGAGCACAGCAGGGTCCACTTGGAGATGCTGCGATGAAACAGGGCTGATTTTAATGTTTGAGGCCAAGAAAAGACAGAGCAAGGTAGGGGGATTCCGGAAGCTTCCCAACAACAGAGTGTCTTGGCTGGCTTGCTATATGTACATACTCGCTCATTAGTACCCTTGCATGAACATCTCTAAGCCCAACACAGTTTGAGGGCCTCTACCTCTTCCTCTCCTCCCCTCTCTTGATCCTGGAGGCTCCTTGCAGACACTTGTGGGGAGAAGATGGAGCCAGGGCCTCCTCTTACCTTTTCCTGCTCACCTCTGAGCCTTTCCAAAATTCCAGTGAGCACAGCAGCCACAGCATGAGTCATGGGCACATGGTGGCAGCAGGGAGCTATGCAGAGAGGGTCCCCTCCCCAGGCAGCCCCCACTCTTGAGCAGAGAACTGGATTTCAAACAAATGCAGCAATG